AAGTTCCAGAAATGTTTATAAAGTTTTTGAGTAACTTATGAAAAGCAAAATAAATCAAAAGATTATAAAACAAGCAGGAGGTACTGCTATCACTTTCCTTTTCTTCGCTTTGAGAGAGTTCACCTACCTCGATTTTAATTCCATGCTCTTCACATTTAATGAAATAGGACCCGCTCTTATTTTTACCTTTTATACCTTTCTCATCTTCATGGAATAACTTACATATCGGACACGATGCCTCATAAGTAATTCCGTAATAATCATTATTTCCATCGCTATATTCGTAAAATACATCAGGGTATTGCTCCAATACTTTGTCGCGAAAATTCGCGTGGTTATTCTGTTTTTTAGATAGAGTTTCCTTAGATTGAGATGTATTTAGGACCGAAGTCGCATGATCTATTATATTTTGAGGCAAATCGATTGAATCTGAAGAACTGCCGGAGATAGGGTGGTTAGAAAAATAATCAGTAATGATTTGTATTTGTTTATCAGATAATTTTGAAAGAGAATTTGCGCATGCTTTGACATATTTCATCTTGTCCTTTCCTATTTTTTCGAATAACTCATAAATTTTTCTAGCTCTCTCTGTCTGTTTACGTAAAGTATCTCGTTTAGTACCAAGCTGGGCAATAATAAAATTGTAAACTTGACCCTTTGCTTTTTTCTCACCAATTCGATTAATTTTCATAACATTTTTTACTTGATTATCGAACTCTATAACATAATGATACCAACATAAAATTTCATCTCGATTGGCCCTAATTCTTTGCTTTTTCACATCACAAGCTTTCTGATATAAACAGGCTAAATTTAGTAATAGTTTGCTTTTCGCTACAGATAGCATAACTACGGAATTTTTCTCATCGGTATTTTCCGTGACCTGAGTCACGGAAATTTCGGTCATGTGATCTTTCTCATCTGCATCCATAGTAAAATCAAATATATCATATATAAGGGATTCCTCTTCGGATCTAGTGTCAGTGGCCTGAGCTTGAAGTTTTTTTTCTCGGTTTCTTTCTATCATTTCGTCGAATAGAAAACGTCTATGCTCTTTTCTTCTAGCGATTTCTCACGGTGCTGATTTGCTAGCAAATTATCGGGAGAGGGAATATCTTCCGTGGTATCGCTGATCGGTACTATGATACCTCCAACTGAAGAAATATCTTGCATATTAGTAATGACTCGAGTTTGTAGACCCAGGTCATTGCTTTTCAATAGTTTATAGTCCTCGAAGTCTTGCCTAAGTTTTGTTAACTCAGATTTAAGTTTTGTGTTCTCGGCCACGAAGTTGGTGGCATCGGTTTTATTTTTTTTCTCCAACTCTTCGAGCCTGAGATTGAGTTCAGTTATGAGGCCGGTTTTTTCTTCTTTGAGCGCTTCCAATTCCTCAATTCTGGCATTAAGACTAGATACAAGGCTGGCTTTGCTTTTTTCTAGCTCCCTATATCTAGCAATGAGATCCGAATTTAGCTTTTTATAATCTTCGATGGAAAGCCTGAACTTGTTAATCTTGTGTGAATGCATGTGGTCGGCTTGAATGATTGACAGTGTTTGATTTTTACAAGATGGAATAATTCAAAAGTGAGTAAGAAAAACTTTCTATTTGCTTTTTTCTCATAAATTCGAAAAAAGAGATCAATGTAAAAACATATATTTATCCTGTGACTTCGAGTAATGAAATTGCGAGAAGGCAGCCTATGTGATGATATTTTTCGACCGCGTTATCGGTATTCGGATGCATAATATAAAGCTAGGATACGAATACAAAGCTAGGATACAAATACAAAGCTAGGATACGAATACAAAGTTAGGATATGAATACTATAGAGAAAAGAAAAAATTTCGCTGACGACGTTCACATAAATCTATCATCATCCAAGTAATGATGAGAATACTAATATATCTGTGACAACGCGTGAATCGAAATAAAAAATTGGATTATATTTATCCCACGACTTCGAGCGCGAGAAAGTGAAATCCCTGAAATTTTTGAGTGACGGCGGGATCATATATCTCTCATCATTCTAGGAAAGACTTTTTGAATTCGGATTCACAATTTATTGATAAGTATTAGTCTATGAATGATGACTTTTTTGTCTTTATTATTTATTAACTGACAATTTATGATTGCATTGACAGATCAACAACGAATGATTTATACTTACATCGTCAGTAATATAACGAAAACTTGCTATATTTTTCGTGTATTGTATATGTGTAATCAAGAATCCGGAAATTATGAATTCTTTATTCGTGGAAAAATTGGAAGAAAATTATCAAAGTCATCTTTGAAAAATTTCGCTGACTCGACCGAGACTAGAAAAGATAAATATTTGACGAACGATTCATGGTTGCATCATCAGCATTAATAGTATTCGCGGTAATGGAGAATTTTTTGCTGACTCATCAAATATATTTTGGAAAATGATACTTATTTATAAGAAATCCCTGTCGACAGATATATTAGTATTCGCTCACTATGTTCCATCATTCGAGTGACGATCGATTCGCTCTTGCGTCGTCAGAGATATAATAGCGGAGCTAGTATCTGACACATAGTATTCGCCCACTTCGCTCCATAAAATATTTTGGAAAATTTCGCTGACCTCGTCTTCTTAGAAAAGATAAATATTTATTAACTGATGAATGATTTGTGATTGCATTTTCCGTGACCTAACAATTATACATCAAAGTATCTGATGATGAGGCATGAAGTGCTGAATAGATATCGAAAAAAAGTCATCATTCGTAGACCAATACTTATCAATATATTGTCAATATTTTTGCGTTAGCGAGTCCTCGAATGACGACAGATATATGATCCCTTCGTCATTCAAACTTTCGGGGAAAAGATTTCAGATTTCTGAATAAATAGAAATAATGAGTGCGTGACCAAAAAGTTAAAAAAGTCACGCCGTTTGCTTTTGCCAAGAAAAATCTTTGATCATATGCAAGTCTCACGGAGTGAGGATGCTTTGCATCTAATATACATCGATATAACATATCTTTTAACATGATTGAAATCATTTTGATATCTCTGATGATGCAAGCATGAATCGTCCTATTCCGATGGTATGTTTTCAGGACATGCGATCAAGTATGTTTGTGCATATGCTTGATGAGGTAGCTAACTTCAGTAATATATTATAATAATTATGGAAGATGGCTACCCACCATTCGTCACTCGAATGACGATAGATTTATGCTTACGTCGTCACTCGGGAAAAGATTTCAAAAAATTCAGATTTCTAAGAAGTCAAAAATTCTGAAATTTCCGTTTCCCAGGGAAACGATCAAAATTTATTTGATGATGCATTCTCGACGACGCTCGCATAAATTCATCGTCATTGATCGCCAAGAAAAATTCTTGATCATTGATTAGTTGTCGCGATCAAATTTCTGAATTCCATGAAGCAGTTACGATTACCAGCATACATTATTATTATGTTGCATATAAATGATGACAAAAATTTATTACGATCGCCATTCGAGTGAGTATACTATTTTGATTTTATAATTCGAAGAAAAATCGGTAGGACATCAAAGATTTTTCAGTTTGAGTAATATTTCGAGTAAAAAAAGTGGCCCACAAAGGTAAAATTATTACAGATATATATATAAAATAAAATTGTGCTTTGGTGGGCCACCAAGTAAGGATAACCATTTGGCACTACGTGTCTCATCCTCGAGCGATATTTGAATGCATCATACAAAGCTAGGATACGAATACTATTTCAGCACTACGTGCCTCAACTCTGGCCCTCATCGAGGAATTAACCAACAAACTAGGGCACTACATGCCCAGTTTGGGCATAGCCCTCACATCGGGCCCACAAATGACGACACGCGACTGAATGCATCGTTAGCATATTTTTTATAGATCGTGAGGTATCTAAGTGTGACGATGCGAACATAAAATCGTCATCATAATTTTTATAAGTTGTGAGATACCCAAGTGTGATGATGAACTCGTGAACTAATCGTCACTCGAATGACGACGAATTCGTGAACTAATTGTCACTCGAATGACAACACAAGCGCGAATCGTTCGTCACTCAAATGATGACGCAAGCGTGAATCATTCATTACTCGAATGATGGAGCGAATACTAATATATCTCTGACGACGCAAGCGCAAATCGTTCGTCACTTGAATGACGACGTGAACTCAAATTCGTCGTCACTCAAATGATGGAGCGAATATTAATATATCTCTGATGATGCAAGTGCGAATCGTTCGTCACTCGAATGGCTAACTAGATAACATTATAATACAACTGGATAGCAGTCTTATAAGACTGCTATCCAGTGCAGCCATTATAGTAAAGATCATCTATCGAAACATTTAATATATACAGCCAATTATGCAATAAATTAATATTATTATTTCTTAAGGGTAGGGTGTACAAATTTCCAATTTCATATAAAATAGATTGTAGATCAACTTTGTGTAATGAATTTTATAT